CCGGTCCTCCCCGGCAGTACCCCAGCTGTTCCAGTTCCAGGGACTCAGGGCTCCCGTCTCTTCCTGCGTGCAGCCTTCTAGTGATAACGTTAAGACTTCTTGTTTGCCCCCGCAGTGATCAGGAAGCCCCCTGTTCCTCTCGGTAGACCTGGGAAAGGTGCCCGGCGGGCGGCGCCCTGTGGTGGAGACAGGGGCGTCGCCCGCTCGGGAGCTGCCCGTTCCGAGCGCGATGCTGCGGCCATCTGCAGCCTCACAGGGCTGGCTGTGTTGAAGGCCGGGAGTGTAGAGGGTGAGGCCTGGACGTTGCCTTCCTCCAGGTGCCATCGGCCTGGAGACCGAGTCTCTATCGTTCGTTACCTAGTCCCTGTTGGAGCTGTGCTTTCTTCCTGACAGAGCGAACAAGCTTTGTGAAGTTCAGGCTGTCGGCTAGGTCAAACCTGGGGAGCTCTCCAGAGACGCCCTCGCGGCAGGTACCCGGGAACCTAGGGGGACGCAACCATTGCAGCGCAGTGCATAATCTGGACATCAAAGACGCGTACACCTGGTCCACAAGGTATAGGGTGGCGCGAGGCCCAGGACCCCCGCTGGACTGTGGGCCAGGAAAGCAGCCTGAGGACCTCCTTCGGGGCCAGCATCTACTACCTGTCTCCCCTGTCTGTTCTCTTAACCGATCAGGAAAACCAGCCAACACAGGAACCAACAAAGTCCTTGCTTCTGTTTCCCTCCATGGCCATAGATAGGAGACAGCACCTGGAAGAGGCCTGGAAACAATCAGTGGTGCTTTTTGTTGTTGTTTTGTTTTCAGTACTAGAGAGTGAATCCAGAGAATACTGATCTCCTAATGTTCACATGGTCTAAGTTGTCCAGGCTGCCCTTGAACTTGCTACCCTCCTGCTTCAGCATCCTGAGTAGCTTGGATTACAGGAGTGCCCCGCTAGTGCTGTCTTTTTTTTGAGGGCCACTCACTCCTCAGGGCCCTGAACTGGGATTCTCAACCCCATTATCCCAGATCGAGCTGCATGCGTCCCCTTTGTGTCCTCAGTTTCCCTTTTGTGAAGCACACTTTTAGTCCCAGGGCTGGCAGAGGCTGTGCTCCTGACAGCTGCTTCCCACTCCTGGCTTCTGCAGTGCAGTGCCAAGTCCTCTCTGCTCATTTGCCACCCTCTGCCTCTACTCCACCATGCACTAGTGCAGGAGAAGCAGCTGAATACTGGTGTCCCCCAGGCCCTCTTGGCACAGTGATTGTGCCAGTGTAAGGCCCATACAGGTGCCTGGCTGACGTGACGAGCTCTGCTGGGCGCAGCCTTGTGAATGTCCCAGCTCACAGTGACCCTGGGTGACCCCACCCCTGCACCTGGTATAAAGTCAGCCTTGGCAAACACTGGCTTTGTGGACTGGCTTTGAGAAGGACTCACATGGTGATGCCCAGGGCAAGACAGGTCCTGAGGCCCAAGCAAGAGAATGAGACAGGTGCTGCCTTCAGAGCTACCTCATCTCCAGGCATGGACACAGCCCACCACCACCAGCAAGAGCTGGCCTGGGCCTCACCTCCCTCAAGACCCACCCTTAAGACTCAGGTGTGTTCTGGGTGGGGCTGAAGCCCCTCTGCTCTTAACTCCAAACTGCAGTGGAAACCAAGTTTTTGAGGACATTGCTGATGCTGGGCCTGGAGGGTTCCCTGACTGCCCTGCATCCCCCTCTGCCTGGCAGGACTTAGGGATATAGCTTTATTCGTGACCCTCCTGTGCACAGCTCCACTTTCAGTTCTGCAGGCCCCTCCCACCCACCTGACACTTTGTGATGATAATATTCTTAACCCAGACTCCTGCATCCAGATGACAAATGGGAACTGGACACCAAACGGGGCCAACATGCCACGCTCTTCAGAGAGGCAGAGTGCAAAGAAGCAAACTGCCAGGTGCAGTGGTACACACCTGTAATCCTAGCGTTTGGAAGGCTGAGGCAGGACGATCTCATAAGTTCCAGCCTAGCCTACACAACTTCATGGCTTAGCAAGGCCCTGTCTCTAAAGAAAAAATAAAGGGTTCAGGTTGTAGTTCAGTGTGAAGGCCATGGATTTAAATTTCCAAGTACAATGGCTGGGGATTTAGCTCAGTGATGTCACTGCCTGCCTTGCATGTGCAAGAGCCTGAGTTCGATCCCTGGTACCCATCCCCCCAAAATTTCCAAGTACCACACGTGTAAAAAAGTGCAATTCAGTGTTTGTTGGCAGATTCACAGAGCTGTGAACCATGCCACAGTCAATTTTACATCTTAGCACCCCAGAACAGATGCTGCATCCTGCAGCCACCCATGGCTCCCCATAGGAGTGAAGGAAGCAGCAGTCCCCTCACTGGTATGGCCAGGCCTGGCTCTAGCCCTCAGAGCTTTGTGCTTCCTGTTTGGTCGTCCTAACCCAAAGTAACAGCCCTCAAGTGCATGCACTCCATCCCAGCTCATGGAGATCCTCGTCGGGTGTGTGGCTGATGCTCCCTTGATCTCCAGGAACAAAGAGCCTAGGTGTGTGTGAGCCACATGGGAAGCTGACTCGGGGCTGGACACGGGATGGCAGCCACTCTGGGGTCCCCAACCCCTCTTGGCCTCCTAGTTCTGTCCTTCCTCCACTGGCCAGCATTCTCTGGCTTCTAGAAGGTTCTGCCCTTCGCCACTTTCCTGATCCTAACCCCAACTCTACAGTGCATTCAGTTCCCTAAGGGAGGCCCAAGCTAACAGGAGAGCTGGCCTGTTCTTTTTGTGCCACAGGTCACAGGCTGTGTGTCACTGGCCACTCCAGCTGCAGTTACAGTGAACAGGGCCTCACACAGATTGTGAGCACTGCTGGCTTTCTCTGTCATGGTTCCTTGAGTGCTGTACTTGGGTTTTAAAGAGTTCCTCACAGGCTCATTGTGCTGACAGCTGATGGGCTTTGGGGAAGTGACAGGGTCATGAAAGCCCAGACTTCATCAAGAAGATTTATCCATGAATGAGTCCATCTCTGAATGGGGTGTTAGGCAGTGGGGCCCAGTGGAGGAAGGAGGTTCCTGGAATTTGCCTTTGAAGGGCATATCTCGTCACGAGCCCCTCTCTGCGCCTCTCTCACTCTACTTCTGGGCCATTGTGAGGTGAGGGCTTTCCTTCACCCTGTCCTCTGCCATGGTGTTTCTGCCTCACTGCAGGCCTGGAAGAAACAGAGCCAAGTAACCATGGGCTGAAACCCTAGACCATGACCCCAAATAAACTGTGCCTCCTGCAAGTTGTTCTTCTCAGAGAGCTAACACACCTAGGAATCACCACGGTGTTACACGGAAATGGCCCGGAGAAACAAACCAAATGTTTAAAATGTCTGGATTTTTCATGACAGCTCCGATTTCAGACACTGTGTAAGACTGGATAAACGGTGGTGTGTCTGTGCAATGGACTGCTATTCAGTCTTGAAAAGGAAAGCGATTCCGGCACATGCCACAGGGTGGATGAACCTTGAGAACATTCTGCTGTGAGCGATAAGATGGCAACATCCCGTGTGTTCCTCTCATCGAAGGTCTCTGGAACGGTTAGAGTCCTAGGCACAGAAAGCAGAATGGGAGTTGCCAGGGATTGAGGGGTGAGAACGGGGAGTAAGAGTTTAACAATGGAAGACGCGAGTTTTGGTTTGATCGGATGGAAGAATTATGGAGGCGGATGACAGTGATGACTACACAACACGATGCTCGTCTCGGTGGGATGTTTGAAGGGAACTTTCTGTTTGTTTTGCAAGTGCTGAGGGTGGAACCCAGGGCCTCACACATGCTAAGCAAGTGCTCTGCCACTAAGTTATACACCCAGCCCTGGTTGTATTTATGGTGTAATTACTACCATTAAATAATCCATTTTAAAACAGCTAAGATGAAAAAATGGCTAAGTCGGTAAATGTGTTACCATTCACGGGAGGGATGGGGTAGAGAGGGAGCCGCAGAGGCAGCTCTCATGCGGAGACAGTGACAGGGCTGTGGTGGAGGCACCTCTGCCCCAGGGAACCCACTGACTACCACTGAGCTGCTGCCCCAGGGAGGCCCTGTCAGCACCCACGGTCACTGCGCCACCCTACTGCTGCCTCGGCCCCTCGTGGCTCTGATGGCCCCAATCTCTGTTTCTTTGCTCACCCATGATGCTGAGAATTCACACAGCTGCAACAGGTACTGTGCCTGCCTGCCTGGTTTGCGTGTGTGTGTGTGTGTGTGTGTGTGTTGAAGCCAAGTGGTGGTAGGGAATGGTTGGATGGCAAGAAGGTGTCCCAGTAAGCTGAATGGATCTGCAGGTGAGGCAATGCCTGGGCCTCCTCTCAGCAGACCTGCAAGGGGAAGATGCCTTGGCCGTGGTGCCCAGCAGAGAGGATAGACCAGGCACAGCGCCAGGGAGCAGCACACCCACTTCTCTGAACCAGGGAACTTTATGTTAAATGAAGACTTACTTGGCTGGGAGGTAGCTCAGTGGGAGCATGCACTAAGCTGTGGGTTCTATCCTCAGCACCACCAAAATAATAATAATAATGATAATAATAATAATAAAGGGAAAAACAATCTACAGAGGGATGCTATAAGTAATTTTTTTTTTGTAGTAACAGGGATCAAATCCAAGGCTCATGCATATTAGCTGAGTACTCTACCACTGAGCTACATCCCCAGCCCCAAGATTCAGCTATTTATTGATTTACTGATTGATTCACTGATTGATTGGAGACAGGGTCTCACTATGTACCCCAGGCTGGCCTCGAACTCTCAGTGATCCTCCTGCCTCAGCCTCCAGAATGCTGAGATTACAGATGTGTGCCACCCACACCCAGCTCTGCTACAGATAATTCCATCCGCAGCTGGGGCCAAAGAGAGAGTAAAAACTTCTCAGAGTTTAATCAGAGGGAGGAAAAGAGGAGAAGGGAACTCACATCTGCAGATTTCATCTTGTCAGAAGAAGGGTGTGAGGGCAAGGTGGGGAAAACGGTGTTTCACCTGCAGACAACAGTACAGAACATCGGCTTGGAGGTAGGATGGGGAAGGTGGGATCTCACTGGGCTTCGGGTTGGCCAGGAGAGTGAGGGGTGGAGGGAGTTGCCCATTCTGTCTAACAAGGGAAAGAGAGACCTGTGTGGGAAGAATTGCTGCTCCGGGTGTCTATGGATTTCTGGTCACTTCAGCTATTAGACCAAATCCTCTCTGGGAGACAGAGGTCCAGTTCCAGGTATTCCAGGACTAGCTTCCCACCAGCCCAGGTGGATGCGAGGATAGGGGTTCAGCAGGGGAAGAACACAGATGCCCCCATTCCTGTGTGCCAGCCTTTTTGTGCTAGTGGTTAGGCTGCAGGCGATGAGGAAGCGGGCCACATCCAGATGACTGGCACCACGCCCAGCCTTCCACATGCTCCGTGGACTTCCTGGCGGGGCTCTGCTGTGCCTAACCCATGGCACAGGCAGCTCCATGCTCCCCAGCTGACTACTTGGACTCCCTATCTCGTCTTCCGTGCCAGTCCTCTGCATCCACAGCGTGACACCTTCCCAGCTCCCATACTCACACACTGGACGCTTTGGGGTTAAATAGTTACAGAATGTGTCAGTCAGGCCAAGATGGGTATGCCACAGTAACAGGCAGCCCCCAGGCCTCAGGGACTTGAAACAGCTCATTTCAGACACAAGACCAGAAGGAAGCAGCAACATCTCAGTCCAATTCACCGAGTCTGGAGGAAGACAGGCACCCAGGAGGGCAATGGCCAGCTTGAGCCCTGGTGGAGCTCAGGGACCTGGAGGTGCTAGGGTGCTGGCCATTTAGAGTGCCCATGTGCTGGAACCTGCCTGTGAAGTAGAGAAACTCCCTTCCTTGGGCAGGGCAGGTCACAAAGCATCCAGCAGGTGCTGCACTCCAGAGCAAACGCGACCACCCTCCCTGGTTCTCACCAGGGTCACCTGGTCACCTGGCGTGTTGTGCAGGAGCCCCTAAGTACCCTCCTGATGAGCACTTCTTCCAGCCTGCTGTCCAAACTGTGGCCAGGCTTCATTCAAAGAGAGGCCACCCTGTCTCTTCCTGCTGCTCTCCTGCTAGCCTTGCAGAAAGAATGTGCAACTCCGGCCTGCAGTCACCCCTGCTCACCCACTGCAGGGCTGAAGGGCCTCATTCGTACCCTGACCAGCTGCTGTCTGGGGGCAGCAGGGCAGACAGGGCCAAGGTGGGGCCTTTAAAAGGTAACTGTGTATGAGGGCTTTGTGCTCAGGCAGCAGTAGTTTCCTGGGGGGGGGGCAAGCTGGCTCCTTGTGCTGCTTGCTCTCATGTGCTGCTGTCCTTTTGCCTCCTGCCTTGGGGTGACACAGAAGGCTCTCAGCCTCCAGAGTATAAGAAAGTAATTGCTGTTCATTACAACTTTCTGGTATTCTGTTATAGCACCAAGAAATGGACTTCGACAGGTGGCCGGTGAGACAAGCAAATGCCTCGCTGGCAGAGCCTGAGGCCCTCCCTCTGCACCATGTCCAGATGTGACTGGCTTCAGCTCACTGGAGTGCCCTGCCTCATGGGGTTCAAGGAGCTCCGTGAGGCGGGAGGGCCGCTGGACCCTGCCCCAAACTCAGGGCGTGCCTGCAGGCAGCTGGGAGATGCTGAACGGAAGGGAGCTATGTAAGTAGGCTGAAGGTCAGGCTGTGGGGTGACACAGGAGGTGACACGGAGCCTGGACAGCCTGGGGACCTGCTTTTGCCTGCTGGGTGGGAGAGGCAACTTCCTGGAGCTTTGGGGCCACTATGGGATTTGGCCTGGGGCCTGAGCCCTGTGCCCCCAGGCCTGAGATCTCCCTCAGGAAGTTCCTTCCCTAGCCCCCAGGAAGCCCTGGAGAGACTTCTTGGAGACTGTTTCCTGTCGGAGGCTGTCTCCATTCAAGTGTGGGCTTTGTGCTGAGGGCCTAGGGGCAGCACAAGCCAATGGGGTGGCTGTGCATTATGAGTGAATGGCAGTTACCATCTGGATAGAGGGTACCCAGTGGCCCAGGGTCTGCCCTCACCACTGTTTGCAGCTTCCAAGGAGAGGTGACCCTCCCTAAATGTCTGAAGGATGAAGGCAGAGGGACAGGAGCCAGTGTGGAGGGCTGGTGGTGGACGTGGAGGTGACTTAGGAGTAAGAGGTGGAGTGTGTGTGTGTGTGTGTGTGTGTGTGTGTGTGTGTATGTTGTGTGCATGGGTTGGGCAAGGCTAGTGCCCAACCACTGGCCAAGGATAACTCCAGGAAGTCTGTAAATCACCCAGGGCTCGGGTGAGACAGAGGCAGCTGTGGGAGCCAAGGAAAGCAGCCCGTCAGGTTCTCAGAGCTCTGTACCAGCCCTGATGACTGATGGGGCAAACGAAGGTCTGCAACCTACGCCAGAGGACGGAAGTGAGTTCATGCCTCACATCCCTCCACCCAGCCCAGCCAAGATGGAGGCCAGGAGTACGGTGCACTGGATCCAGTGCTCTGCCACCACCACGAGCGGGCACTTACATTAAATGAATGTACACACACCCAGATGGGAACACTGCTGAGACCAGTGGCCTCAACAGGGGCCGATTTTGCCCTCTAGGACCTGTACCACCACCACAGAGAAGGGTCCGGCCTCGAGTGTCAGCAGGGACACAGCAGAGAGCCCTCGCCAGGCCCATACCTGGGGCAACAACCTGGCCACGTGGAGGACTTGGTGGACCTGACTCCTGCTGGGGCTGTTTACTTCGTCTCTGAGGAGACCAGGTGGATGAGGCAGGGGGCTCCACCATGCCAGCCTGGGTGGGGCTAAGGTGGTCTACAGTGTAGACTTTTTTGAGGTGGAGGCCAAACTGAAAAGAGCTGGTTTGGAGCTGACAATTCAAGTCTGAGCTGGGGAGTGGGCCCCTCTTCTCCCATACCTGAACTCCCGGGCCTCACTGGCTCCTTGGGCTGGTATAGCTCCAGTGTGTCTGGAGGTGTTCCAGAGTCTGCAGGCCCAGAACTGTGTACTGCAGGTCAGGAGCACCTGTGCCCTCTGCCCTGGTGCTGTTGGAGCCTGGCACCCCCTCCCTTCAGCCTCAGGCAGGTCATGTAACCTCGGTGCCTTCGCTTCTGCACAGAAGCGGGTATTATCCAAGGTCCTCAGCCCCTGCCCCATGCCATGTGCCTTGGGACCAGCACACAGGACACAGACAGCCACAGTTTCTTCTCTGGATAAGCAGCCAGTGCTCCATACTTATGGGGACATTGTGTTCTTACTGCTGCCCCCTGCAGCACGGTCAGCACGCCCCTATAAGACGGCGCCCTCCAGAGGCAGAAGAGGGGCAGGGAACCCCTCAGGGCTGGGCTGCACTGCTGTTGGGAGGCGCGAAGGCTGGAGAGAGGAGGTTTACCAAGGGCCACCTGTGCTCCCTGCACCTTGGACCCTTGCAGTGAGTGCAGGAGAGGCGTGGCCAGCAGCACTGGAGTCTGGGCTCAGGGAGTCTGAGGCACTCGAAGACACCTGGTCAAGAGTCTTGCCCAGACTCGGGCTCCAGTCACCATCCGCATCAGAGGCTGGGGGAAGGCCCGCTGCCCAAACCTGTCCTGACCACTGCCTGAAAGCACCAAGGGCCTGGCTATCCCGGCAGTGGGCAGAGTGGCTGCCAGTGCTGCCCCAGCCGTGCCCTATCAGAAGAGCAGCTTCCAGGCTCTTTCATGCCAGGCAGGACTTCCGAGCCCCTGGTGCTGGATGTGTTCACTGCGTCGTCTCGGGGGTGCCCTGTCCCCTGCTGCATGAACCGGGGCTTGTAGCCTCACCTCTGTGCTCCTAGGCCAGGCCTGGACATCTCACTGATCTCACAGCAGTGCTCTGTGACATGCACCACCGTCTCTATGTCCTCGGGGGCTAAAGCTCACAGGAGTGAGTGCCCCTTGGCCTCCCAAGCTTAAGCACCTGCTAGTGAGCACTGGGTAGGCACAGGTGTGAGAGGGGTAGGTTCTTGCCTGGGCTGCCTATGCGGGCTTGGGCTCCCCTTGGCCCACCACCTGCCCCTCCACCACTGCCTCCTGCCTTGCTTCCCGGGACTTCCTGCCGGGCACAAGTTCTACCCCACCCCTGCTCTGCAAGCCCCTTCTAGTGGTCCTGACGGGTGGCCTGAGCTCTGGATACCATCCCAGTGCCAATGACAGGCAGGCTGGGGGTGAGGCCCACATGACTGGGGCTCCTGCAGCCCTGGTCCGGCCTGAAGGGAGTCGTGGTGACCCCAGATGCACTGCCCCACTCCAGCTGCAGCTGCTGTCCCCAGTTCCTCCCCACCAATGGGAGGGTCGTACCTGTCCCTGGCCCCTAGAGATCTTTCGTTCCTCTCTCATGACTGCCGTGGAGCCAGCTGAGGGCCCCGGCCCCGGCCCTGCTGTGTCTGGAGGGCTCACGTCTGGCGCTGGCACCTGACATTTGTGCTGATGGCCCCATCCCTGCAGCTGCGCCTCGGGCTGCGGGGCAGTGACTCACCTGGGGCGCTTTTCCCCGTTTGGACGCTGGCCCTCTTGGCTGCCCTGGGAGCCCTTACTGAGCAGAGGAGGCAACACAGGTCTGCTCCCCGAAGGGCGGAGCTGTCTGTGAAGGGGTGGAACCCTGCTGCCTCCTCTAGGCAGGGCATCCTCCCCTCCTCTGCTGGCGGAGCTCCTGGGCCTGGTCTGGCCCTTGCCAGCTCTAGCATGCTCCCTGGGTCCCAAGGGGTGGGGTGGGGCGACCCAGGTGCTGGGGCACAGGCTGAGAAACTTCTGGGTCAGCTCAGAATCATACCTCTCAATCAGGGCTTGTGGTGCCTCCTGGGAGGGTAGGGGTGGGTGTTCTAGGTCTAGCGCAGCATGGGATGCACAGGTGCTGGAGAAAAGTTGTCACAGTTGTTAGAAATAATCACCAGAGGATGTGGTAGTGGGTGCCTGTAACCCCAACACTATGGGAGGCTGAGGCAGGGGGATCCCAAGTTCAAGCCTAGCCTGGGCAATTTAACACCCAGTCTCAAAATAAAAGATAAAAAAGGCAGGGGATGTGGGTCAGCTGGAAGAGCTGCGTTCAATTCCCAGTACTATAAAAAAATAAAATCACCAGAAATGGGTAGAAAGACAAAAGCAGCTGACTCGAGATCAGCTTTGCTCCAACTAAGCATCAGCTACAGAAATTCAATCCGAGCAGACCCAAGAAACAAGGGAGAAACACTGAGGAGGGTAGAGGTCACAGAGTAAAGGGGCAGGGACAGCCAGGCCCTGCAGGGTCAAGCAAGGGAAAGCGCAGGCCGGAACAAAGGCAGCAAAACAGGGCTCAGAAGCAGACACAATGCCACGCTGGAAAGCAGAGGACGGCAGACAAGGCACAGATTCTCAAACAGAATTAGGAACATTAATATGCTTATAAAATTAAAAAGTTAAACGAAGTAGATACGTTCCTGGAAAACTATAAAATGACAAAACTAAGAGCAAAAGGAAGCAGGGACAGAGGAGCCGAGGACCAAGTGGTCATGGGAGCCTCCCCTTCCTGCAGCTCAGAGCAGCTCCACCACGAGCTCCACCCAGCTCCAGGGACTGCCAAATTCCTGCCTCAGACAAAATGTTCCAGAAAGTGTAAAGGAGAGGGATGTGTCCAGCTCAGTTTATGAAGTTGGGGCTGTGATGCCAAACTAGACAAGAGCAAAGGGCCGGGGAGGCCCGCTTCACGAGAATTAGGCACAAAAACATCCAAAACAAAACTGGAGCCAACCATATCTGAGAAATGGACCCCACGGTTAAGGTTTCTCTAGCTTAATATCAGACAAAATCAGGGCAGATTTCCACAGAGTAAAGGGAAAAATCTCATGGGTAACACAATAGGCACAGAAAAGCATTTTATAGCATATAAATCCATTGTTTATAATTAAAAACTTCTAGTGCAATGCTATGTGCCAGGCCCTGAGTTTGATACCCTGCATCACAATAAAGAAGAAAAAAAGTTAATGTGTGTGAGGGTTGCAAATTGTGCATGCAGAGGATGCCACCTAATTTATGTAGCTGTTCTGTCCTCAACAAGGGGGAGCCTGACTCCCCAATTCATCATTTAAATTGCATACAGTGACTTCCCATCAGAGTGCAGTATGTAAAGAAAAGGGAGAGAGCTGACAAGCACTACCTCGGCCAGGTAGGTGGACAGTGTCTACAACAACAGTGGACACGACAGGGACAGCAAGGACCCTTGAGATGCTGGGACAAAAGGGCACTTTACTTCTGTCATCCTGCTTCCCCAAAACCCGAACTCATGAGAAAAACATGCGTATAAAACATCTGACCAGTGCTCCTCACAACCGGGAAGATGAAAAAGAAGAGCCTAAGGCAAGAGGATGACTCAAGGTCCTGTGGGAGCTTGGCTGGGATCCTGGGCAGAAAGCACCTCAGGTGAAATGGAGGCAGCACGAATATAGCCTTTAATGATATGTCAAAAAACACAAGTGCACTGTGGCTACAGGGAAACTTGGTGTGGGATGTGTGGGAACTCTGCTATTTATTGTAATAAAAATTTTATCCACAAATTTAAAAAATTACTTTAGGTTTCCGTTTATTCCCATAACAGGGTTCTTTCCTGTTACTCCCAGCTTACTAATAACTGTAATAAGAATGGGTATTTAAATTCATAATTTTGCTTTTTTTTTTTTTTTTTTTTTTTTTTTTT